GGATATAGCCGGTTTTGCACGGATGCTCCTCAATTAGTCAAATATGACTTATAATTAGTTATTTTTGACTAATTCATTTTAAGAGAGATATACTCCATTTTTAAAGGCACAATAAAAGCGCAGTGTTTCTGTTCTATCGGACAAGTTTTTGTTATATATTATATTATTTTGAAATATTGTGATATTCTATCATTGGGAAAAAGTAAACAAAAACAAATTCGGTGCGTGTTGTCGCAGGCGCTAATATGCAATTTACATCTCTTGTAATAAAACATTCTAAAATATGCAACATTATGACAGGCATAATAATAATATACTATTATTTTGTTAAAAGAGATGGAGCACCCCGCCTACGGATTAGTGTACTCACAAAATAATTTGGCTCATTTAGCACTTATATCATAAATATTATTAGGCTAATAATTAGTGATTGGCCGTTTTCATTACTTACTGTGATTTGTCGTATTGTTAACTGTTAATGAATTTTTTATTTTAAGTTTTATTAAAAATATAAATATAAAATTTTAGACTTGCATGAGCAAAACATCAATATATTTTTTTAAATAAGTGATCAATTTTCAATATGAAGTGAAATATAAAATAGGAAATTTCTGACGTACGGATACTCCTAAATTTCATTTTATATGATATGAGATCAGCAAAGCGAAAATACAAGCAAATTTTATTTCCGGCGCTTTTGTTAGAAAAGTAATAAACATTTATTTAATAAATTTTACATTCATAATAATTATTGTTTTATTATATTGTTATATTTCTTCTAATGAAATTAAATACATAGTTAATAAACTTAACTGTCAAATATTGATACCAAGCACACGTCTGAATATGGAAAATGTAACGTGGTATAATCCATATAAATATCATTTAAGATTACTTTTAAGACATTTATAAAAAACTTTCATATATATATATATATATATATATATATATATATATATATATGTATATATAATAATATCCTTGCAGAACTGTATAATAAATAATTTTGCTAAGTGCCGCGCGCAGTGGGCTGGAATGGCCCTAAATTGGAAAAATGCATTAAAAAAACTAATGGGATATTATTATGAAATTTAACAACATAATTTTTGGTATTAATCTTGATTCTGTGTAAATTTTAATTCAATTGGCTCAGTGACGACGATTTTATAAGGGTTTAAATCTAAATTTAAGTTTAAAATTAAATTATTTTAAAAACCTTTTAAAATTTTATTATGTAATTAGAAACACAAGGTTTATATATTTATAATCGTGATTCTGTACCAATTTTAATTTAATTGTGTCGAAAAGATAAAGGTAGGGACTACATTTCCTGAAAATTTAAAAAATTTATTTTTTCCCCTACCTAATGATTTTGGAGGGCAAATTTAACTAATTTTGAAAACTTTCAAATTTTAAGATTATTTTTCTCTAATTAAATAAAAGTCAAAGACCTTAAAACAAGTTGTTTAAACAAAGTTTACATATTTTATTATATAAGTAATTTAAAAAAAAAATCAGCTCTCCAAAATTTGGAGGGCTGGTGCAGGGGTCATCTGAAAATCACAAAAATTATCAAAATATAACGAGTTTTCATTGGTCCGTCATCTATTGTTAAAACGTATAAAGCATGTTTTTAAAATGAATAAGTAATATCTAATTATAATTATCAAAACTTTTAGAACAGAAAAAAAGGGTATGAAAATCACACAATTTCAGATTTCAGATCAGTATCTCCCGAAAGTAAAAGATCAAAAAAAATTAATAGGGGCAGTTTTTCGTATTTGATACCTAAAAGATCATCCTCAATTTTTTTTATCAAAATCAAAAACCTTGCAGCACACACTTTTGATGTTTTTTTTTGAAATAGGTAACTCGTTTGTAAAAAAAAAATATTTTTTTCTCGTTTTTACTTTGAAATAATGAAGTATTATTACATTGAAACGATTTTTTTATTTGGAATCTTAGCAACAAAACTATGATTTTTTTCTTTGTAAAAGAGTACATTTGATGTTTTTTGTAGGCAATGCAGTAAGCCTTTTTAAGAACAAGAAGATAAGATAAGAAGATAAGATGGTGAAAGATTGTTCCTTGAATAATTGAGGGGCTCGGTGCAAGAACCGGGTATCTCTATATTGGAAAAATGTTGAGGAGACAAGAAAAACCTTGTTAATAAATAATAAATTATTTTATACAGTATAATTTCTGCGGTCTCCTGTATATGATATATTTAGTTAACTATAACGTGGATCTACACGGTTTGTGCACCGAACGATGCATATTCATATACCTCAACTCAATTTAGCAAAAATATGGAGATACCCGGTTCTTACACCGAGCCCCTCAATTGTGAACAAGCGACAAGCAACAAACTTCCATTATTTTTAGAGGAACCTAAGCAAAGACCACTTTTTAAAAATGACATTTTGATGAAAATTTGCGAAAACTAAACGTGAACCGATATTTACGTCATGGTCATGGTTGTGATTCAGTTGTCAAATTTAAGTTTAATAATAATAATAATTTATTGAAAAGTGAAGAAAGAAAGTATACATAAATAAATAAAATAGAGAAAATAGAGAAATTAATATTGAAAAGGACAGGAGCGGCTATAGGAACTCCTAGACTCGCGAATTTGGAAGACTTGTTAAGTTCATCAGGATTTTTTTTTAATTTCACTATACACTTTGCGTGCAAATTGTTTAAAAAACTTTCTTAATGTATTACCTTTCGAATGATGTATAATGTGTCCATAAAAACTATTATTTTTGGATAGAAAATGTCACCTTTGTAAGGCACATACAGGTTTTAGTTCACCCTAGGATTAACAGTTCCAGGTAGTAATGGGTCTTGATGTATTATTTGTATTATTAAAGGTAAAATTTAACTAATATGGAAGCAAATTAAAGAAAATTTTACCTGGAATAATAATTATTAGGTAATAACTATTCTTGAGGTATCAGGAATTGTGTATTTAAATTAGTGCGAAATAAAGGTTTATTTCATATTAATTCAACATGCCAAACTTTTCAAATGCTGAATACGCTGATATTATGTTTGTATATGGATTTTGTACTGGAAACGCAGCCGAAGCTCGACGAGAATATCAAGTAAGGTTCCCACAAAAACGCGTTCCTAATGAAAGAGTATTCAGTACAACATATCGTCGTATAGCTGAAACCGGCACGGTTATACCAAGACCACGCATTGGAGCTCCTGAAGTTAATGTAAATGTTGATGAAGACATTCCAGAAAGATTTGAAGAAGATCCAACTACCAGCACAAGAAAAGTAGCTTCTGAGTTGGGTTTAACACAAAGCAAGGTTGCTCGTGTAATGAAACGTTCAGGCCAGCATGCATTTCATTATACACCTGTCCAGGGTCTAGAGGAAGGTGATCCCCAACGAAGAATCAGCTTTTGCAGATATTTATTAAATGCAGATATTGATAATCCCAGGTTCTTGTCTAGAATTTTGTGGACTGATGAGTCTAAATTTAGTAGAGAAGGTATTACTAACTTTCACAATTTACACTTCTAGGCACATAAGAAAAGAATAACTAGTTTTCAAAGAAAATTTAGTGTAAATGTGTGGATGGGTGTAATTGGCAGTACATTGATCGGTCCTCACTTTTTGCGAGATAATTTGAATGGTGAAGCTTATGGGGAATTTTTGAATAACGTATTGCCAGAATTAATGGATGATGTTCCATTAGCAAATAGGATTGAAATGTTTTTCCAACACGATGGATGCCCAGCCCATTATAGCATCAATGTTCGGCGGTTTCTAGATCAGAGGTTTCCAAATCGTTGGATTGGTAGAGGGGGACCAATATTATGGCCACCAAGGAGCCCTGATTTAACACCTTTAGATTTTTATGTGTGGGGGTACATGAAAGAAAGGGTCTATGAAGTTGAAATATTAAACAGAGACCAGTTAATCGAAAGAGGCGCGGCAATAGAATTAAGAAACAACTTAGATAATCGACTTACTCGCGGTGAAATCAGAAAAAGGGCACAAGCTTGCATTAGAAATGATGGAATATTTTAATAAATAAATGTTAACTTAACACTTTAGTACTTTACTTACTACTAATCGTGAATTGTTAGCGTAAACTAAAACCGGTGTGTGTTTTACAAAGGTGACATTTTCTACCTAAAATAATAGTTTTTATTGGCATATTATACATCATTCGAAAGGTAATACATTAAGAAAGTTTTTTAAATAATTTGCACGCAAAGTGTATAGTGAAATTAAAAAAAAATCCTGATGAACTTAACAAGTCTTCCAAATTCGCGAATAAAATTTTATTTTATACTGTTGTTCTGAAGTTCCATATGGCTTTTTTGGAAAAACTATTACTATGTGGCATGTACCAATGTATGGGCTAAAAAAAGAATCGTTTAATTAACTTTAATTCTTATCGAGAAATTTTAAAAAATGTAATCCTGGACACGATTTTTTACCAAAATCACAAAAAATCAAATAACTCCAAAACTAATAACTTTTGGATAAGGCAATATGGGGTTCAAACGACTCAAAATAATCTGTAGAATCACTTCCTTAAATTAATGCACCTACTTCTGACTCACCCTGTATATATATATATATATATATATATAATATAAATAAAAAAAACCATTTACAAACAGTTAATTTAAAATACCTATTAATATTCCTTTCAAATACACTACAAAGGTTAATAATACCTTTATAAATCTGCCGATTGCAGCGGTGCATTCGCCATTTTTGCAATTACCATCTTTCACCAGTTTATTTAATTTAAATTATTATCCAGACTATGATAAGGACAACAACTTTGTTTTGTTTTAAAACAATTTTATTATTATTGTTATTTAGGAAAAAAAACAAATACAATAAATCTTTTTGTTTAGCTTATAAAGGACCATGTTGAGTCTAGGGGTAGGAGGTAGTCTAAGGAAAAATGTCTGCTTTAATGCAAACTGAGTCGGCCCACATAGCTGCATTACTAAGTACACATACCTAAATATCCTGCGAGCTGCAGGAAGTATTGTGCGGATGCGGTGCTACGGCCATATTGTTCATAGTTCATTAGGTAGAGTATGGCTGACACGTTGTATGTCAGGAATTCTTTGCATAGCGACTTCAGAATTGCTGAAATAAATGAAATTACAATTAGCGTCGTTAAAAACAAAAAACAAAAATAGTACTTAAATATAATAACACTAGTAAACAATAAAAAAAATTTTGACCTGCTCGACGCAAATCCGGCGCCCAAAAAATTTTCCGAAGTCTCGTTTAGACGATACGGACAGGACCATGATACAAAGAAAAATTGTTAAATAATAACGATAAAAATTAGTAAATAAAAAAGGTCGGTAATAAAAATAGCACACTCCTATGGATTTTCACCTGCTCAACGCAAATCCGGCGACCAAAAAATTTTCCAAAGTCTCGTTTAGACGATACGGGCAGGACCATGATACAAAGAAAAATTGTTAAATAATAACGATAAAAATAAGTAAATAAAAAAGGTCGGTAATAAAAATAGCACAGTCCTATAGATTTTGACCTGCTAAAGCTAGACGATACGGGCAGGACCATGATACAAAGAAAAATTGTTAAATAATAACGATAAAAATAAGTAAATAAAAAAGGTCGGTAATAAAAATAGCACAGTCCTATAGATTTTCACCTGCTCGACGCAAATCCGGCGACCAAAAAATTTTCCAAAGTCTTTAGACGATACGGGCAGCACCATGATACAAAGAAAAATTGTTAAATAATAACGATAAAAATAAGTAAACAAAATAATTCGAACGATAAAAAACAGTAAACATAAAAAAAAACATGCCTTAAATTTTTACAATATGTACAGATATGTTGTTCATGGAATGCTGAAATATAAGTTAAAAGTAACGTCATCCTAAAATTTTCAAATCTATGCAATAAATAGTACCAAAATACTGTGCTCCTATTTTTTATTTCCGACTTCAGAAATTTTTTTTTAAAACATTTTGGATCTATTTCAGTCATAAACAATCGAAAAATTCTATTTTTAACCAGGGCCTTTTTTTAAGTTAAAATTTGTTGCCTAGTGTAATTTTTCTTTATTGTTAAAGTAGGATTCTAACGTTCCTCGAGAAACTCTTAAAAATAAAACAAACGGACATAAATTAAATACATAAACACCGAAATAAATAACGTTCTTTTTATGTTTTATTTATATAAAAACAAAAAAAACAAATGAATAGGACAATTGGTTTTCTTCCAAATTAAGTAAGATTTAGGTATTTTTGAGAAGAACTAAAACTTTTATGTATTAGTAGATGTTTATGACATAAAGGACGATCTTACAAACCCGTGGGCCTCTAGCCCGAGGATTTGTAAGGCCGCGAGTACTTTGGAGCTTTAATAAACGATAAAAGCATCTTAAATAAAGCCTGTTAAAAAATATAGAAAAAACCGTGTTGGGTGTATTTCGAGAGGAAATCCTGGGTTGAGTTTTTACCGTTTTTCCAGTGTTAATCTGAATGAAGAAATGAATGAAGTACCTATTAGATACAAGAAATACACATTTTAGTAGTGATTAACGTGAAAAGTGTTAAAACTTTATTTCAGTAAAAATCGTCACACAAATAAGGCGTCTTAATTTAAACAGCATTTAGCATTATTAACGGTAAAATAGCATTATATTATGTACTATATATAAAATTATGTTGCCATGAATTCGTAGGTATATTTTGTTGTTTAAAATGCAGTTGTCGGCGTTTTTTTAGAGAACACAAACATAAAAATGGTTGATTTTAAGGTTATGTTTGTGCAAAAATTATTTTTTACCAATTTCTTAAAAATGTCCAAACTTAAATATAAATTATATTAGGTAAAGTTATCATTAGTTAATTCTGCACCAACAAAATTTTTACCTACCGAATTGGATCTCTTGGCAAAACATTAAAATGCAACGATTTAGTTCTTGAATTTTATTTAAAATTAAAAACACAATAATTCACCTTTAACCCGCGCGGGCCATTAAGTGCACTATTAAATAGTTGGTAAGTTAGCAATAAAAACTAAATAATGGAATAGTATGACATTTTAATTTCATTTAAAACTATTCTAAACAGATTTATTTATGTCATTGAGCTAAGAAGTAAGTATTTTCGTGCGAAGGCATACAATTAAGCGAAGCACAGAAATACATTTCTCAGTTAAATGACATTTCTACAAGATTTTATCTTTGAGGCTTAATTTTATTTATTAAACGATACATTAAACGTATAAATATAATAATAATTAATAAAAGTATAAAGTAAGGTAAGGTAGGTCTAACAGTAGTAACATTTTTTGATTAGTTAAAATGGTTTTTTTACAGACTAGGTGGTAAAAAAGTTAACTTAATTGTCTTAATTATTTTTACCTTACCAGCGAGTGTTGACAATAATAAGGTTTAAATTATATACCTAATTTAAACCTTATTAGAACGCTTAAATATACATTTTTTGATAAAAAAATTTCAAAAAGTAATATTAGAGATTTTTTTAAAGAAAAAGCAACCACAGATCTTTATTTAAGACCACTTAAAATCCCACTATACCAATTTTTATCCCTTTTAAATACAGGATGTCCCAGCTGGGAATTCCTTAATCTTTTAATAACCAAAAATTGAAGCGAATAAACACATTTAGTGGATATTTTAACAATACCGAATGCTTTCCAAGTAATAACTAAATTTATCACAGGGTAAGTAGGTAGTCTAACAAACACGTACATCAAAGTTATCAAATTATATTTTATTATTAAAGTTTATTACAAAGTATGCCATGGAAAACTAAATATTAAAAAATAATCAACAATTGTTAAATTTACCACAAGGTAGGTAGGTAGTCTAACAAACATGTACATCAAAGTTATGAAATTATATTTTATTATTAAATTTTATTACCAAGTATGCCATAAAAAACTAAATATTAAAAAATAATCAACAATTGTAACTATTGTCAATGTCCTTGTCACTGACTCTGATTTGCTTGCTTTGTAGTGCTTATCGAGTGCTAATTAGCTAATAGTAGCTAATTCTTTACAAAAAATGTCCTGAGGGTGGTAAGGTCCTAAGTGTGACACACTGTAGAGTCTGTAATAACTTTGAAACTTTGATATAATAATAAACTAAAATGTACATTTTCTATTAGGTTGAATCAGCTGTTTAGAAGAAAACGCTGTCACTATACCTTCGTCATCTCAAAACATTATTAAAATTAAATTGCTTAAGTCTAATATTAAGAAAGTTTGGATTGAGAGGGAAATAGTTTTAAAAAGCAATTAATTTTACAAAAGGCAAATTTAAGTTTTGACGAGAAGTACTGATTAGTCGTAATTTATGTTTAGGAAAGTGATTTCTGCATTTCAATTAATAATGTTGAGAGCTTAATTGTAGAAAATCTTTAAATATCAAAATAAATTAAATTTAATTAAAAATATTAAACAGTGAAAATGTATATATACTTGATATATATATCAAGTTTGATAAACGCCATTTTAGTCACGAATTTTAATTAGGCATGGGAGAGCTTGCGAGCGATTGATTAATTAAATGAATTTCTAGAATAGTTTTTAAAAGAGTTGCATACTATACTTTTTTCACGACAAATACTTATTATTATCTAAAAAATGATTAAATTAAATATTTTTATAGAGCGACATCTATAAAAAAAATAGAGCGTGACGGTCAAAATTTCAATTATGTATGTGTAAATCGAAATATATTCCTATTGGCAGTTTTTCACAGTGAAAGTGAAGATTATTTTTTATGGCTCCTTCACGGTGACAACGTGCATTTAAAATTTTAAATATTGTCGTTAATTAAATTCTTTTGTATTTTTGTATTGAGGTAATAATTTTTTTTTAATTTGGTATTATTTTACAAGAAAGGCACTTTATGTTAACTATTGTATGACATTTGACAACTGCAAACTAACTTAAATCTTACTTCAGCCCGTGACTAAAATGCCATAAAGCCACAACTTGTCAATGTGTATTTAAAAGGTCCCACCTTTAAAACCTATCCTGCTTATTCTCAGAATATTTTCTTAAATAATTTTTCAATTTTTTTTTTTTTTAATATAAGATCAGATCTTCCCTACTTCAACAATACAGGGCTGTTCAGAAAACAAATATATTTTTAATGGAATACACTAAATATTCAACACTTCGATATATTGTTTTAAGGTGAATTCAAAAATATATTATACTTCATAAATAAAAACTATATGAAACATAATATAAGCGCAAAAACACTACGCTCACTAGTATATGGATCTAGAGAAAAATTGAACAAGAAACAAGCATTTTTATGAGATAGGTAATACCTAGAAAAACATTAAGCTTACCTTCCTTCCAAAGAATAAGGCATTTTTTAATAATTAAAAAAATATTCTTTTTTACTAATGGGTTTACTGTTGTAGTGTGTTGTATTTTTATAAATAAGGAAAATATATAATTGTTAGGTATATACGTATGTATGACATACATTGTATGTATATTGGGGTGATTTTTTTTACTTCTGATACTGAAAAATTGGTTCTTAGGCATAAATATAAAGTGCTCACCAAATTTGAGTTCTTAATATTAATAGGAAGATCCTCCTCATCACAGTTCTCCATTTTTTCTTTAGTCCCTTACTGATATGCTAAATCAGTTGATATGAATAAATCAACTCTTCTGCATACGGCCCTATAAATTATAATGTCCTACACATTGCAAGAGAAAATTGACATGATATCTTTGGTGGGCAATTCTCTACGTCAAACAAGAAACCTATTCTCAGTTTAATATCTGGATCGTTCTATTCCATTAATTAGAATAATATCACACGTTTTTAATTGTTTTATTTACATTTATTTTAGGAAGTTTGATTTGTAGTTTTGTTTTAAGAGAATTAATTTATTTATTTTAATTTATTTTCAAGAGACATTTTTTGTTTTTTTATTTGTTTTTAGAGATATTTTTTTATGCTTAAACGTTTTTTTTATAATAAAAAATAAATTAACTTAACAATGCGTAATTCGTATTAATAATTCAGAGCAAACTTCGACTATCAACCATCGTCGGTGAAGTATCTACTACAGAATTACAAAAACCGTCGCTCGGGCCAA